GTGTAAAGTGTGTGTTTGTAAAGTGTGTGTGTGTAAAGTGTGTGTTTGTAAAGTGTGTGTGTGTAAAGTGTGTGTGTGTAAAGTGTGTGTGTGTAAAGTGTGTGTGTGTAAAGTGTGTGTTTGTAAAGTGTGTGTTTGTAAAGTGTGTGTGTGTAAAGTGTGTGTTTGTAAAGTGTGTGTGTGTAAAGTGTGTGTGTGTAAAGTGTGTGTTTGTAAAGTGTGTGTGTGTAAAGTGTGTGTTTGTAAAGTGTGTGTGTGTAAAGTGTGTGTGTGTAAAGTGTGTGTTTGTAAAGTGTGTGTTTGTAAAGTGTTTGTTTGTAAAGTGTGTGTGTGTAAAGTGTGTGTGTGTGTAAAGTGTGTGTGTGTAAAGTGTGTGTTTGTAAAGTGTGTGTTTAGACACTAACGCTACAAACGTTTATTTCCCCTAAATTAATTTGACAAAAAGCAGGATCCCGTCTAATTTTTTGTGTGTAGCTGCGTGTGTCAACTTTGGGCCTGATGGTCGTGGGTTCGAATCCCCATGAGACCTCCTCCACGTCCTCCCCCGCTGAAAGCGCAGTGATTGGAGGAGGTCTAAGACGTGCTGTGGTTCCTTCAACACTTTAAAAACAGACACAAAGATCTGCAGAAAAATTCTAAAATGAACTGGAATCTGGTATCTAAAAACGTGAGTATTCTGCTCACGTTTGTAGATCTGTGTTTTACACAGAAACAGTTTATATTTGACTTTGTTGTTAGACTGTATTTACTGAGGTTAGTTCTGTAGAAGACAGAACATTACTTGATATAAAACTGGACAGAAAACGATTCTATTCTGTCATTTTCCTTCAAATGAATTGCAAACATAGAGTGGCGCCACCTGCAGGTGAAAGGGTAAGCAGAGCAGTGCTGGTCAGTACTGTGATGGGAGACCTCAGGGAACAGCAGGTGCCACAGTGGGTTTCTGTGGCTGTAAAGTGCCTGACTGTTACTGTGTCCTTTGGCAAGACACTTCCCCCACATTAGAATGAGTCTGGTGTGTCTGTGAATGGTTGGTGGTGGTGGGAGGGGCCGATGGCACAGACTGGTTGCCTCAGTTCTGTCAGTGTGCCCCAGGGCAGCTGTGGCTACAGTAGTAGTTTATCACCACCGTGTTTGCAGAGAGAGAATAATGAAGAGACTTTGAAAGTCCTGAAAAGTGCTACATTCGTAGTATTATTATTTTTATTATTTTTATTGTTATTATTAGATGTGTTGTTACATACACATGTGTGTATATTTTGTGTCTTAACTGTTGATTCTCTGATCTGTGATTTCAATGTTTTGTTAAGTCTCTGAGATGATGCTGCTGTGATTTAGGGAAATGAAAGAATAAATTGTTGTTGTCATCCACACTACAGTTTCAGTCTGGAACAGGAAAACAAACAGGACTTTTTATCAGAATGGTTTATTGGCTCTTGGTCCAAAAGTGGCTCTTGGTCCAAAAGTGGCTCTTGGTCCAAAGCTCCGTTCCACATGTGTCAGTGTTGAGGGGAGTATATGTTTTTGGACCAGTCTAGTTCAGTTGCTGTGGACTTTTGAATGCACTGGTTAAATGAATGGGGCTGATGCAGAGGACACATGCACAGATGTGTTTTTTTCTCACATTTTCCTGCCCCCGCGGCCATTTTGAAACTCCCCTAGAGGCTGAGAGTGATGTCACAGCAAATGTAATTTCTGGTCAAGATTGTGGCGCTACTCCCCACGGGCTCCGTTTGCGGCAAAGAAGATGGCTAAAGCTAGGCTAAATGCTAAATGCTAACAACAGACTCGGGCGCAATACATACGTCACGGTAAACTCAGATCCACTCGTTTCAATCTGCAAAAGGAGTTAACTCCTCCCACCTGTTCACAGAGTCAATGGAGCAAATCCAGACCTTAGTATGAAATGAAATTTGTACTATGGTGTGGTACAACGAGGCTATGTTGAACCCAGTCTCTATCCCAGGGTCTACAGCCTCAGTCCTGGGTCTACAGCCTCAGTCCTGGGTCTACAGCCTCAGTCCTGGGTCTACAGCCTCAGTCCTGGGTCTACAGCCTCAGTCCTGGGTCTACAGCCTCAGTCCTGGGTCTACAGCCTCAGTCCTGGGTCTACAGCCTCAGTCCTGGGTCTACAGCCTCAGTCCTGGGTCTACAGCCTCAGTCCTGGGTCTACAGCCTCAGTCCTGGCTCTTTGTAAAATGACACTAACTGTTGTGAGAACATTACAAAAATAAATGGAAGTTAATGTTTTGACCTATTTTGTGTTTGAATCAATTTGTCAGTTTAAAGTTGTTGCTTTTTATGGATTAGACAAAAATAAAAACATGTTATTTTCTGTTTGGTTTCTTCTAAATGTTTCTGAACCGTCCCTGGTCCATTCAGGAGTCACAGATTCAGACTCTGTTCTTTCAGCTGCCTTTGGGAACATCGCCCTTTGCCCTGGTCTCTCACACCTTCTCATGTGTACGGCACAACGTGAGCTATTGACACATACATGCACACACACACACACACACGTATATCCACGCACACACACGCCTAAACACGCACACATGTACACACGCAGACACGCATACGCACACACACACGCACATGTACAGTGCCTTGCGAAAGTATTCGGCCCCCCTTGAACCTTTCAACATTTCGCCACATTTCAGGCTTCAAACATAAAGATATAAAAATTTAATTTTTTGTCAAGAATCAACAACAAGTGGGACACAATCGTGAAGTGGAACGAAATTTATTGGATAATTTAAACTTTTTTAACAAATAAAAAACTGAAAAGTGGGGCGTGCAATATTATTCGGCCCCCTTGCGCTAATACTTTGTAGCGCCACCTTTTGCTGCAATTACAGCTGCAAGTCGCTTGGGGTATGTCTCTATCAGTTTTGCACATCGAGAGACTGGAATTCTTGCTCATTCTTCCTTGCAAAACAGCTGGAGCTCAGTGAGGTTGGATGGAGAGCGTTTGTGAACAGCAGTCTTCAGCTCTTTCCACAGATTCTCGATTGGATTCAGGTCTGGACTTTGACTTGGCCATTCTAACACCTGGATACGTCTATTTGTGAACCATTCCATTGTAGATTTGGCTTTATGTTTTGGATCATTGTCCTGTTGGAAGATAAATCTCCGTCCCAGTCTCAGGTCTTTTGCAGACTCCAACAGGTTTTCTTCCAGAATGGTCCTGTATTTGGCTCCATCCATCTTCCCATCAATTTTAGCCATCTTCCCTGTCCCTGCTGAAGAAAAGCAGGCCCAAAGCATGATGCTGCCACCACCATGTTTGATAGTGGGGATGGTGTGTTCAGGGTGATGAGCTGTGTTGCTTTTACGCCAAACATATCGTTTTGCATTGTGGCCAAAAAGTTTGATTTTGGTTTCATCTGACCAGAGCACCTTCTTCCACATGTTTGGTGTGTCTCCCACGTGGCTTGTGGCAAACTTTAAACGAGACTTTTTATGGATATCTTTGAGAAATGGCTTTCTTCTTGCCACTCTTCCATAAAGGCCAGATTTGTGCAGTGCACGACTGATTGTTGTCCTATGGACAGACTCTCCCACTTCAGCTGTAGTTATCTGCAGTTCATCCAGAGTGATCATGGGCCTCTTGTCTGCATCTCTGATCAGTCTTCTCCTTGTTTGAGATGAAAGTTTGGAGGGACGGCCGAGTCTTGGTAGATTTGCAGTGGTCTGATACTCCTTCCATTTCAATATAATTGCTTGCACAGTGCTCCTTGAGATGTTTAAAGCTTGGGAAATCTTTTTGTATCCAAATCCGGCTTTAAACTTCTCCACAACAGTATCTCGGACCTGCCTGGTGTGTTCCTTTGTCTTCATGGTTCTCTCTGCGCTTTAAACAGAAACCTGAGACTATCAAAGAGCAGGTGCATTTATACGGAGACTTGATTACACACAGGTGCATTCTATTTATCATCATCAGTCATTTAGGACAACATTGGATCATTCAAAGATCCTCACTGAACTTCTGGACTGAGTTTGCTGCACTGAAAGTAAAGGGGCCCAATAATATTGCACGCCCCACTTTTCACTTTTTTATTTGTTAAAAAAGTTTAAATTATCCAATACATTTCGTTCCACTTCACGATTGTGTCCCACTTGTTGATTCATGACAATAAATAAAAAAATGATATCTTTATGTTTGAAGCCTGAAATGTGGCGAAATGTTGAAAGGTTCAAGGGGGCCGAATACTGTATATATCAACGCACACACACGCCTAAACACGCACACATGTACACACACAGACACGCATACGCACACACACACAAACATGTATATATCCACGCACACATGTACACACACAGACACGCATACACACACACACACACATACACTGTACATGTTATATATAGCCGGCTGCATGTCGACAGTATCCTGAAACTAGATCTGAGTTTATTAAGTAAGTAATCTTTTTTTTAGCACTAACATCTATTCGCTGTTTGCTCAAAGACTCTTTTTTTGCACTACACACATGTTGTCTACACTTATCTATACAATCTGTTGTGTTGTGTTTACTGCACGCGTGTTCCTTCAGCAGATGTGTTTCTTTAGCCTACAGTAGCAGGAGTTATGTACTTATGTAATGAGTGCTGGAGCCTCCCAGAGTCAGAAACGGGCCCTGTGCTCCTCCTCAACCCCAGCAGGGGCCCTCGCTCTGGGGTGTCCCATTACAACTAGCCTGGGCGGGGGCTGGGCTCATTGCTTCGCGCTCATTGGTCCAAGATCCTGTCTGTCAAAAGTTGATCCGTGGCTAATTGGTCAGAGAAGTTACCCACATCTCTTTCTCCAAGTCCCGCTGACCATCCTGCCGTGTGGCTGTCTCTGTGGCGCACTAGTCCAGCTGTGACCTGGTCTGAACCGGGCTGTACCGGTATAACGGACGGGTGTTTCTGAGTCCAAACCTGCGGGCTGTGGACACGGACAGGCCGGACACTTGACCCCCCTGTGCGCTTTAAGGACGGAGCTTTGTGGAGACGGTAAGATGGCAGACAGCGCGGAGCAGCAAGTGACTTCTACCACTTTACTCAGCGACGCAGGCCACCACTACGAACCGGAGCCGGAACCAGAGCTGGACCAGCCCAAAGCGGACCACTTCAGCCTGGACGACATTGTGGACCTGGTGGGGGGTGCCCAGGACGCGTTAGAGAGACACATGGCGGAAGACAGTGCGCCACAGGAGCCCACACAAACTTTGGCCCCGGAGGAACCACCGACGTTAGAGGAACCTGTGGAGGCGGCTGTGAGAGAGGCCGAACCGGTGGTGCTGCCCGAGGCCACTCCAGAGCCAGTGGTGGTCCCAGAGCCAGTGGTGGTCCCAGAACCAGAACCTGCACCCATTACTGTACCCGAACCCACAAAGGAGGTAGTTCCTGAGCCTGCACCAGAACCAGAGCCCACCCCAGTGCAAGAGGCGGCTCTCCCAGACTCCACGACCCCGTCTATAGTCCCTGAAGTCCGGCCTGTAGTTGTGGAGGAGCCCGTGGTGGTGGCCCCTAAAGCTGAAGCCGAGGTTACATGGTCTGCCCCTGCCCCTGCCCCTGCCCCTGCCCCTGCCCCTGCCCCTGCCCCAGCCCCTGCCCCTGCCCCTGCCCCAGCCCCTGCCCCTGCCCCTGCCCCTGCCCCTGCCCCTGCCCCTGCCCCTGCCCCTGCCCCAGCCCCTGCCCCTGCCCCAGCCCCTGCCCCTGCCCCTGCCCCAGCCCCTGCCCCTGCCCCTGCCCCAGCCCCTGCCCCTGCCCCAGTGAGCGACGCCCTCCCCGTGGTTGAATCCCACACCGAAGCACCAGCCCCTGCACAGACAGAAGAGCAGCCTGCAGAGGAACCACCGGCTCCAGCAGCATGTGAGTCCGTCCCTGCTCCTTTTTACGCCTTTTTATCCTTTTATCACTCTTTTATCACTCTTATGGATGTGCATCGGTGCAGCATTTGTGTGTTTTATCATCACCGTGTATCATTATCAACAAATGCACAGGTTCTGCAGAGAGCTCTCCTTTGCATGACTTCCAGCTGCGCCTTGTCCGCTATGTATTTATTGATGCATTTTTATTCATTTTTTTTCATGGTAATGCGACGAAATATGACCATAATCCAGAAAGAGCAGCAGTAATATATCCCATTGAAAATAAAACAGGAGTAGGATGAAGAAAAAACAATCTTACAGACTCCTACGCTATTCTAATATAAATAAATGTGCTTATTACACGGCAGAGTTTAGGCCCTGTTAGCATCAGGTTAGCTCAGTGATGCTAACCAGGTTAACCACGACGCCATGCAGCTGTCTGACAGAGGAAGCTCTCTTTGAACGAGACAACTGATGGCTTTGAGTCAAACATGAATATCTAACATTTATTTAGCACCTGTTTGTTGGGATTTCACCTGGGCATATTGTCATGTGTGCCGTGCCGTGCTGTGCTGTGCTGACGCGGCCCACCTGTTTTGATAGATTCCACTCAGAAGATGCCTTTTTCAGAAATGGAGTATTGCATCAGTAGAAATGCACTTTATTGAGGTTGTTGTGTCCGTGTAAGATGCAGGATTAGTGGGTTATGTTTGGACACGGTCTGCTCGGTGCATCTGCTGCTATAACGGGGTCTGCTTCCATTGTCGGACACCGCTGGTCATTTTAAACCATTGTCTTAGTGCACTTCTGAATAGGATTTCTGGCCAATACAAGTAACTCCACGGCTTATGCTACGTTAAAGTGACATATGCTTGGAATAACGTGTGCATTGCATTGTAAGATTGAATGCTACTTCCTCTGCTCTTGTCCGTGGTCGGGTTGCTACATGGCTGCACGGCTGTAATCTCTTTGCAAACAGCTTAAAACAAACCACCGCAGAGATGGAGGATCACACATTCTGAATGAGTCCATGGGGGATGCTGTGTTGCACTCCCGGCATGCATGTCCGATAATGGAAGCATAGGCCGCTAGCTCGCAGTGTGTACCAAAGCAGTAACCCACAGATTAGTCACAACAAAGGAATCTGCGCCCAGTCCACTCCCTGACGCCCTCCCAGTCTTTCCACCACACTGGGCAACGCTTAAAACCAGCTACATATTTTCCCGTTAGTGCAATGCCCTGTCATCCCTCATCCCTCTCCCCAACACCCCCACCCCAAAACAGGCCTGCAGGGGAGGCCTGTGAGCTGGGAGACGCCTTCTTTGGAGTCCACGTCTGGTAGAACTGTTCTAAAATGACATATTTCTCATGACTAGGATGGAAGGAACTCAGTGGATTGTTTTTGGGCGTTCAGAGTTGTTTGAGTGGTTATAACGCGTGTTTAATCTTGTTATAGCACTTCTTCAGGGAGCGGAGGCAGGGTGGGGCTGCACTTGGCAAGGCCCCTGATGAAGCAGGATGAGCTAGCATTCTCTTCACAAGGAACACGATAGGATGGAGGCCGGGTTGACAAAGGTTCTGCTTTTACTGCATTTAAACCAAAACTGACCTGAGACTTTTAGTTGTGTTGATATTGTTCTACTTAAGGCACATTTTTACTACTTTGTTATGGTTATGTATTTAAGTCATAGTTTCCCCTCTTCCAGGGTTTTTCCCCGACTGTTAAACTGACAAGCGGCTCCTGTCAGCACTGGCCTACATCTTGTTTTGGGTCACCCACATCCGTCAGGGCGTGTGTGTGAAGGCCATGGATGTGGTCTGATGGATTAGCACAGAGCCATGTCAGAGCTTAGCCACTATTGTGTTTGTTATGGTGTTGCTCTGTGGTCTCCTGGAGAAGAGCGAGTGTGGAGTTAAGAGCTTTCATGAGGAACAACATTCATCGCAGCTGTTAATTTCCAAAGGGTCTTTTCAGATCCATGTGATGTGTGTCAGAAACCTGCGGCTCAAATGAGTGTTTAATGCGATTGGAATTCATAGCCACGGTTCATGGTTCATCATTTTAATGTTGTGAACGTGAATCTTTACGATGTGAAAAGCAAATCAGATCATTTAAAGTCTGTCATCCACAGTTCAGGAGTCGTCTACTGTAGTGTCATGACCAGATCTGAAAGTCCAAATGTCAGTGGTTAAAGGGTTTATGTTTGTCTCTTCATAAACTTGACCGACCCCTCACAAGAAAAGCAGATTTACTCCAGTACTCGGCCGTAGAAACAGTGCGACTGGTGGTTACTCTTTATTCTCCAACAGTTATAAGTGGCTTTAGCGTTTACAGGTCGCCCAGAGCGAGCAGGTGAGTGGTTGGTCTAAAGTCATATATCATGGCCAACTTGTTGAGTTTCTCAAGACACTTTTAGCTCATGGGAGACATGGATAGGGCACAGCAGCCATGGAAATGTATGCACTCCTGCTCAGAGGTGCCCCAGAGAGGGGGAAGAGGCTATGAACCTGAGTGTCCTGATTGAATCAGTATAAGTATTTCAGAGGACTAATGTGTCTTATTGGTTTAGTCTGCTTCAGCACTGGAAAGTATCCCTTGACAGCAGAGGTAAATACAAACGTCCAGATCAGGTTAAACGATCTAAACCAAAATCACATGATCCCGATCATTGATCAATGTTGATTACTTCTAATCTGTCTTAAATCATTTTGGAATCAAATGTTAAAATGAATGGATTTGTTAATTGCTGGTTCTCTTTCTACCAGGCATGTCCAAACCAAGGCCCGCGGGCCCCCTGCGGCCCACTGTGTGATTGTATGTGGCCCTCTGGCACTAACACAAAGGCCATAGGCTCGTGTACCTCATTATAAATCCAATTCTTTACTTTTGTTTTTGCTGCTAATGTGGCAGGTGAGATGGTCATTTGTCTTTCAGCCAACTTCAGCTCCATCATGCTAAGTATAAAGCTCAGAACAGCCCAGATCCAGTTAAAACCGTTCTGGACCCGGGTTGTCCGCCTCTGGACAAGTCTGGGGAACTAAAGTGGTTCTTTTAAATCAAAGACTACATTACAGCCCGTGTTAACAAGATGAACGTCCAAAAGAATCTTGCTTTTAGTTTATTTTATTTGTCACGCACACAAGTGCCCAGCCCACGTGGGCTTATACTGGACTATACTTTAAATGACTGATATCTCACGTTTCTTAAACCTCTACAGCCGTGGGTTTATTTTTATTATTTGCTTTGTGACTGTTTTATTTTGTGTTCAAAGGATAAAAACTATTTTATTAATCATATTTTTGTTCAGAATAAAAGCACAGGAGTCACATGTTGATCAGAGGCTTTGGAACATGATGTTTGTGAGTTTCCAGATCTCTGACGTTTCTAAACCGTTGTCGTGCTTTGCGCAGCTCTTTCTTCCTTTGGTCCAAGTCTCGACATTTCCTCGACGCTAAAGAGACGACATGATTGGTTTAGATCTTCTGTCGTCCGTTACACAGATTATTAGTCATTCAAACTAATATCCTCACCATATTTCATCTGTTAACATGAAAGTTGTGAGCATGAACAGACTAATTCTGGGCTTGGTGCAGATAAAACAGATTAAAAATCACATGACTACTTTTAATTTAATATTCATTTGTTTCCAACATGCACAAGATGTACCAACAAGAAATCACAGAAAACTAGAATAAGATGAACGGTGTTAGTACATGGTTTGGAACGAGATTCAATCAAGTATAAAGCGTCATATAAGCCGCACCAGCAACACTATCAAATGTGTGTGTGTCCATGTGTGTGTCCGTGTGTGTGTCCGTGTGTGTGTCCGTGTGTGTGTCCGTGTGTGTGTCCGCTGTGTGTGTCAGTGTGTGTGTCCGTGTGTGTCCGCTGTGTGTGTCAGTGTGTGTGTGTCCTGTGTGTGTGTGTCCGCTGTGTGTGTCCGCTGTGTGTGTCCGTGTGTGTGTGTGTGTCCCTGTGTGTGTGTGTCCGTGTGTGTCCATGTGTGTGTTTGCTGTGTTTCCGTGTGTGTGTCCATGTGTGTTCATGTGTGTGTTCATGTGTGTGTTCATGTGTGTGTTCATGTGTGTGTTCGCTGTGTTTCCGTACGTGTGTTCATGTGTGTGTCCGTGTGTGTCCATGTGTGTGTCCATGTGTGTGTTTGGATCAAAGTCAATGATGTACAATAATAATGTATTTTTTTATTGTGCTTGTAGTTTTTGTTGTGTCTTGTTAAAATGTGTGCGTTACAGTGTGTGCGTGACCGGTGTGTGCGTTACAGTACATGAGTTGTTGTGTTGCTTTTCTCAGAGTTCCAGTCTCTCCTGTTATCAAACACGTTGTTCTTCATGTTCACATTCCACTCATACGTGACACAAACCCTTTCATTGTCAGTCGAGAGAAAATACAATGTTGAGCAGTTGTGATGAATAATCTTTTGACTAAATGTGATCACACAAAATGTTTATGACTTCATTGCTCTGTGACTGTGCAACATCCTTCTCCTCCACCTGACTTTGCATTGTTCCTGGTGGTGCATGAGTGGGACTTCTCTGAGATGGGACCAGGTGGTGCATGAGTGGGACTTCTCTGAGATGGGACCAGGTGGTGCATGAGTGGGACTTCTCTGAGATGGGACCAGGTGGTGCATGAGTGGGACTTCTCTGAGATGGGACCAGGTGGTGCATGAGTGGGACTTCTCTGAGATGGGACCAGGTGGTGCATGAGGGACTTCTCTGAGATGGGACCAGGTGGTGCATGAGGGACTTCTCTGAGATGGGACCAGGTGGTGCATGAGGGACTTCTCTGAGATGTAGTTCCTGGTCAGGCTTTTCTAACTGATTTCCTTCTTTGCTGCTTTCTTTCTTCCACAGATGTACCTTCTCCTCTTAAAGCTCAGCTTCAGCCTCTGATGCAATTCCCTGCAGGCAAGTCCGCTTTGCTTGATCTTTCTTCACATTTTCCACTTATCACTTGCCATTGTTTGCATTTACATGATAGCCCACTGCATGTTGACAGTAGGAGACATGGTACTATCACCTAGTTGTCTGTTTGCTTGTAAAATAAGTGCACTAGTGTACCATGCTTGTGTATAAACTAAGCTTCCTGCACTAGTGTACCATGCTTGTGTATATGCTGTGTTTTTCCTCACTCTTTCTGAGTAGACACAACTAACATGGCATTTTACCAAGAAGGATGATTCTCCTCTTTAAAATACATCACTCATATGTTTGAGCAGAATCATTTTCTTAACTCACTGAACTATTGTTAGCACTTAAAGCATGGTTTGTTGGCACCAGACCTGGGGTACTGTGTTTTAAATGTGTCCCAACAGGAGGATAGGGTAAAAGGCTGATGCTGCAAAATACACCAACTCTTGTGAACACTGGGACATGGTGCACACTAAAGAAACAAACATTCATTACTCTTCAGTGACACTGACAGACTATGCAACATGATTGACATACAGCATAACGTTGGCTCTCCTAAAGAGTAATGTAAAATCCCTTCTTAGTTTCCATACTTGATTTGTGTACACAAGTTTTTTAAATAATACATAATTGAATTTGTTAAGCCTGCTGAACAAGCCATGATACTAATATATTTTTAGTGTAATTCATTGTATTTCTGAACTAGTTTTTAGTGTTTTGTATGATGAATATTTTCAATGAACTGCTGTACCCAGGTGTGGTGTGCACTTTAAGGAATGTATGTATTTGATATGTGCTGTATTGCATTTTCCCTCCTCCCTCTCTACTCAAGAACTTGGGCAGAAGGGTGACTCCCCTGCTCCCATCTCTCCTCTCTCCCCTCTTCACTCCCCTGACTCTCTGGAAGAGCTCTCGCTGACAGAGAGTCCCAACCAACCCCCTGCTTCAGGATTTGCTGCATCTTTGGGCTCCTTCACCACTCAACCCCCTACTGCCCATTCCAAGAACATGCCTTGGGAGGGTGAAGACCGTAGTCAGAATAAGACCGACCTTCTAGACACGCTAGCTGGCCCTTACCTGAGTTTAGGGAAGGATCCGGTCGGTCATAATCCCTGCGAGGACAGCGGCGTTTCATTCTCGCCAGAGGAGAAGATGGCTAGCTCAGGCAGGTCCTCCACTGGCCCCTCCCCCGTGACCCCTCAGATGATGCTTCCAGAGTCTGACCTTACTTCCTCTAACCCAACAGAGCACTGGGATTCACCTTTCCTAACATCTCAAGACAACTCCAAAAACAACATGGATCCATTTTCTAAAGAAACCACTCCAATTGGCTCGCAGTATGAGTCTGACCTTCCAGGCAACAACTCTGACGAAGATGACGACCTGATGAGTGATATGAAGAAAAACAATAACCCTTTCGATGGCTTCTCGCCCCTGGCAGACAGTGGCTATTCCCATTTTGGCGAGACAAAGTCTGACAGTCGGAACCCCAAAATGTCTGAAAGTCCGACCCCTGATCTTGTGCAGTACGGGCAGACGGGGGAGAGCCTTGACAGCCCTCCGTCTTTTCTTGATGAGGCAGATATCTTTGACTCTGGAAAGATGGCCACTGGCTCCTTCATGCAGTCGATGGATCAGTTCTCATCCTGTGTGAAAGACCGCTCTTCTGATTTGAAGGATGAGGAGGAAGACAAGATGGAGGATGACTTGGTCCCACCTGCTTCTCTCCCAGACATTCTGAAGTCTTCCCCACTGAATCCTGACAAAATGGACTCTGGCTCCTCCGAGGGCACCCCCGAAGACCAGAGTCCTATCCTTGTACGCAAGATGATGGAGTCCCCCAACCCCCCAATCAACCTTTCCATCAAGCCTTTTGCTTTAGAAGGGAAAGTGTCTCTGCTGAAGGAGATGGCTGAAGAGATGGAAGGAAAAAAAGAGCATACAAATGTGGTCGATGAGAAGGCCTTTGATGCTTTCGACCTTGTTAAACAGGCAGAATCTACAAAAGTCAAAGAAGAACCAGTGAAAATAGAACAGAAAGATTGGTTTTCTGGCTTTGATTCGCCCAAAAAGCCTGACAACTTGGAGCCGCTTGATTTTAAAAGTAAAAAACACACTGGTGAGGATTCAGATTCTGATTGTCCGACTGCTGATTCACTCTCTCCAGTCTTGGAAGCCATGGGCAAAAATCCAGCTAGTTTTCAGGTGGAAACAGATAAAAAGGACATAAAAATGGAGGAAGCAGAAGGGGCAGAGGAGGTCTCAGAGCATGAGGTTTCTTCAGAGGAGTTTGAATTCATCGAGAGGCCTCCCAGGGGCGTTATCGACGAGTTTCTGGAAGCGCTCGACACTTCCAAGTTTGCGTCCTCTAAAACACCCGAAATCCCAATGGATGATGACCTCACCTTTGGCAGGAAGGAAGAAAGTCCTGCTTCAGTTCCGCCTCCCTCAAAGGCGTCCCTTCTGATGGACGACGAGGTCTCGAGTCAGAGCTCCTACCTCCTCCTCTCGCAGTCGTCCCCCCAGAAGAGCAAGGCAGAGCTGGAGAAGCTTAACATCCAGCAGCCCCCTCCCAAAGCCCCCATCACCCACTCCCCAGCCCAAAACGCAGAGGCAGGCAGTGCCAAGAAGAGCGCTCTGTTTAAGATGCCAAACGTGAACATAAAAACAGGTAAACAAGTTTCTTCGGGCATGGCCATCCTCCCTCTTCAGTTGTTCCATGTTCACCGTCATTACTTTCGCCCATTTTGTTCTCCTCAGTTCTTCCCCAGTCAAAGAACCTTCCCACCCGTCCAGACTCCACCTCCTTATCCCTGTAATCACCGTTCTTCCTCTTGCATCGTCCTCTTTTCTTTATTTTAACATCAACTCTTGCATTTTGTATCGTTTGAATTGGTTTTGTTCATTTCTTTAACATTCTTTGGCATTTTGCACATCATTAACATAACCCTATCAGTCCTTGATATTTTTGTATCTTATTGTTGTTGTTGTTGTGGTAAGTACTTCCTGCTCACATGTTGTTGTTCAAATGTGTCTGTTGTTCTCAGAAATCTGAAGTTTATGTAATTTGTAAAACGGTTAATTCTAGTTCTAGCACTGAATATCTTTAACTTCAGACTTGAATTACCTCCAAGTCTTGTTTTAGCCTCTGTCAGTGTTAGGAATAACTTGAGATACTGATGTGAAATTCAATCCATGACCCTTCCAGCACTCGCACACACATAGACACACACTCACATAGACACGCACACACACAGAGACACACACTACGCACTGTATTATGTGTTGAAGCGACATTTTACTACTTCCTGAACAGAAACTCGATGACTGTACAGGTCGTGTCTGCCTCTGGTCCTCGTTGCTCAGTCTCTCAGTATTTATACGATTCAACTTCCTTTTAACCAACTGGACACACCTTTTGACACAACTGAAATCTCCTACCACTCCCCGTATAACTCATTCCATTCTTTTTTATACACCTAAGGCTATACTTTTGAGCAGACAACCCGACTGCTGCTGCATGTCTCTGTTGCAAAGGTCTCCCCCACCCCTTAAAGCTGGGAGACCTAACTTTGCCCACTCATAAACATGTTGAACAGAGTTTTTTCTGTATCTGTAATGAATGCTTTGGTCTGAGAGATGATTGACTGAGGGAGATTGGCCTTTAATCTTTTCTGTCTGAAAAAGTGGATTAGAAATAAATTGAGAAATTGTGAGTGAACTGAACTGTTTTGAGAGCGTGAAGCTACTTCGATGGACTTCATAGTTCCTATTTTCTGTGGTTTGAAAGTTGAGTACTTGCCTATAAATAAGTCTTCAAAGCAGGGGGTCTCTAACCTTCGATTGGAGAGCTGCTTTTTAAAAACAGAAATGACAGAGAGCTAATGCTTTACCAGTCACATTACAAATGTAATCTATATGAAAACCATTATCTGTACAGAATCCCTGCTATTTAAAATATTTATAGTTCAAATGTAATGACTCAAAAGTTAATCATAGGATCATTTAATTTTTTATGTATTAGTTTATTTGACAGGGACAGTACATTAATGAACATTACTGTAAATGTACCAGAATTAGCCACGAGGCTATTTTTCATCCTATGTCCCTGGACAGATTTAAAACACAAAATATCAATGTGTTAGATTCCTGAATCCTTTGGAGAGCTACCTGAAAGTGGGTGGTGAGATACTGGTAGCTCCCGAGCCACAGATAGGAGACCTCTGTCCTTGGTTTAGGTGATTGATCAGTGACATGCATACTGTCCCGTAACACTGGAGGACTCGTTTATTAAACTCTCCTTCTCCCTGCATTGCGGCACAGGCGGCCCACAAAGGGTCAGGTAGTGTAGCCCCAGGTAGTGGAGCGCCAGGTAGTGTAGCCCCAGGTAGTGTAGCCCCAGGTAGTGGAGCGCCAGGTAGTGTAGCCCCAGGTAGTGTAGCCCCAGGTAGTGGAGCGCCAGGTAGTGTAGCCCCAGCTAGCGTAGCCCCAGCTAGCGTAGCCCCAGCTAGCGTAGCCCCAGCTAGCGTAGCCCCAGCTAGCGTAGCCCCAGCTAGCGTAGCCCCAGCTAGCGTAGCCCCAGCTAGCGTAGCCCCAGCTAGCGTAGCCCCAGCTAGCGTAGCCCCAGCTAGCGTAGCCCCAGCTAGCGTAGCCCCAGCTAGTGTAGCCCCAGCTAGTGTAGCCCCAGCTAGCGTAGCCCCAGCTAGCGTAGCCCCAGCTAGCGTAGCCCCAGCTAGCGTAGCCCTATCATACAACTCCAAACGCAGCGCCTCCGACAGCTGACACATACAGCTTCTGCTGTCGGAGCAAACTCACTTGTGCAGAATGTTGTGAAACTTTGAGGGCGATTGATTGGAGTGAAGTTGTTCACTGTTCACAGCTTTGTTTGCTTTTTAGGTGGCGTTCTGTAGAGCGTTACGTCATAGCAGGAAACTCAAACATAGCAGGGGAAGGGTCAGCTCCTCCTTAGAGACTTCTCCTTCATGAGTCTGCTTTGTTTAGGTGTGTTATCTGTTGTCCATGTCCCAGAGCAGACTAGAGATACTGAACCTCTTTGAACGATACTGAGAACACAGAAGAATCACCTACATACAGCTCATGGCTCAGCGCTGAAATTAACCTTTATTTCTGTTTAGTAACAAGAATGAAAACTTTCATATTGATGTTTTTACAGACCCAGGTGCTTTGTAATAATAATGATGATAATATTAGTGAATCTGATTCATATAGTCCTCTTTTAGACACTCAGACTGTTCACATCAATATTCATTCACTCCATACACAGCGGTGATATACTGTAGCCACAGCTGCCCTGGGGCACAATGACAGAAGTGAGCCAACCAGTCTGTGCCTCTGACCACCACCGTCCATTCACACACACCAGACTCATTCTAATGTAAAGTGTCTTTAACCTGGTGTTCCCATAGGTCTCCCATCACACTACTGACCAGACACTTCCCTGCTTAGCTTCTGGAGTTGGCCCCATTGAACCAGGCAGGTCAAACACAAAATATCTTTTGTGGCATCTGATAGTTTTCATGTCTTACCAACGTGCAGCAGTGAAGTTATTGACTCCATAACTTAGATGCATTAAACAGAGATGTATCAGAAGTGTGTAACGTGTGTTTGTAGACGCTGCAACAGTGTATCAGAAGTGTGTAACGTGTGTTTGTGACGCTGCAACAGTGTATCAGAAGTGTGTAACGTGTGTTTGTGACGCTGCAACAGTGTATCAGAAGTGTGTAACGTGTGTTTGTAGACGTTGCAACAGTGTATCAGAAGTGTGTAACGTGTGTTTGTAGACGTTGCAACAGTGTATCAGACGTGTGTAACGTGTGTTTGTGACGCTGCAACAGTGTATCAGACGTGTGTAACGTGTGTTTGTAGACGTTGCAGCAGTGTATCCAAACTAAGTGCTGTGTGTATTTAATCCTGCCATGAGAGAAGTGCTGTTGACTCGCTCGTACTTGGACACACTCCTCTGTGTGAACTGGATAGATTTATGAACCAGTGTTCCGTGTTATCTCTGAGTTGGTGTCAAATGAAATCTCAGAGTGGTTATCCCTGCAGACATGACGTCACCTGTTTGGTTAAACATTAGTTCATCAGAGCTGCACATGAAGACGAGGCCCTCTAGTGGACTCATGCTGTGACTACAAGAACAAGCTCTACTACAGATTTAGCTTTGCACAGTAGTAAAGCAATGTAAGAAAACGTTCTCATTATATTAAGGCCCTTTTAGTGGAAACGCAAACACACTTTATATGCATTAATGACAATATATGAATAGATATGGATATAGATCCAGATGTGGCCCGCCAAGAACATATCATTTATTGTATTCTAAAATATGAACCAATACGTGAGGCAAGTTTATTTGTATAGCACAGTTCATACATGAGGCAACTCAAAGTGCTTAAGTCAAACAGACTTTTAAATGATCAACAATCACAGTGCATTAAAATAGTTAATAGTTAGTTGTTGCAGCGAAACAGAACTGTTTTTAACTTTGAAAAAGTCTGTCTCATATTTTCAGGAAGACAATCTGAAACGCTGCCTCCTCATGTTTAGTCCTGACTCTGGGCAGGAGGCCAGCCCCTGACTCAAGCAGAGCTGCTTTAATATTTAGTATTTTCTGGATATAAATTGCTAATTTAAAGATAAAAACCATCAGCCAATCTTTTTTACACTGACCCAGATTTGGTTCAGTCCAAACATACAGTAACGGAAACTGTTTAGTTAAGTTAAAGTGATCCTTTTGTCCAAACACCTCCGTTATGAACTTGCATAAACATATCCACAGATGAGCCTCAAACAAATAGGATGGCGCCCCCTGCTGGAGACTGAGGTGCTCTGCATGACTTGCTGACAGTTGCAGAGTCACTTTGAAAAAGAAACATTTCTCTATTTCCCTGGAGTCTCACTGCTACGTCAGCACAAGTGTGAGTCTGTGTGGGTGGGGGGGGGGGGGACAGCCATGCAGACAGTGAGGGTCCAGGGGGAGGAGGGCAGGGGGAGGAGGGCGAGGAGACTGAGCCAAAGACAAGAGCAGCAGCCGTTTATAGTTGCTGCGTCAGAGCCCTGGCAGCACACCGTCAGCTGACAGCACTTTCTCACCGCAGTTGTCTCCCCCCCAGAGGAAGCCTTGCCCCATTCCTTCCTTCCTCCTCCTCTTCCTCCTCCTCTTCCTCCCTGTGGCAGACTACAAACATTCACGCACACTTGCTTTCACTGCCTCTGCCGGTCGCTGTGGAATGTTTGCGTGACCATGGACATCCTAGACACCAACTCGCTGGATCACAAGGACTTCTCCAAAGCTGCAGACAACTGTAAACAGCAGGGTACTCCTCACTTTTCCTCTGTGGCCTTTGCTTTTAGAAAGACTTGGACTTCTGTCATGGATTAATATAAGTCATGGTTTTGCATTAGAAGGTGAAGGTTAAATGTATTTATAACTTCAGTAATGATGGGTGCAGAGACTTTTTCCAACAGGCAAATGAAATGCTAAATGCTGCAATCATGGGTGTTAAAAGGACCTTTGGACAGTTGGGTTGTCGGTCACTGTGACCAAAGGTAGACCGGGTCTGAGATCACAGCTCTGTGCTGATTGGTCTCTGAGTTACAGATACTAATGCAGTGGTTTTGGGGCTGCTTTTTTGTTTACCATGACCAGAGATGGCCAGACCCTCAGTCTTGCTGCTTTGATCAACCCCAGTCCGTCTTGCTGCTTGTCGGATCAAGCAGCAAGACTTTATATTAACAGAGACTGACCGTGTCACTCTAAAGCTCGGGTACCTAACTTGAAACCACTAAAAGGAAGTAACGGGTCGCTCCTCGCTCTTAAAACTGTTGCTTCTATCACCAGTTCTCACATGTATTTTTGGCTTCGGCCTCTTTCTTATGGTCAGTTTTTTCAGACAGAAACGTGAAAAGCAGAGAAGTATTTTGTGAACGTATTGGAACAAACATATATTTAAGGGAAAATTGGTTCCTTAGTGTCAGTTGCAACTAGATGAAAAGATCCTTTATTTGTCCCACCGTGGGTAAATGTCAGTGTTGCATCTCCAGATACAGAGCAGTAGGATGAGGAGCACACCTTTTCAGCACAGTAAAGAAGCAAGTACCAAAACTATTTTAGTGCAAGAAATATATTGTATGTTTACATCTGTACATGTTAGCGGCGTGTTGGTTTGGGCTGAAGTGGCTCGTTAAAGTGGACACGTGTGATTTTGTATCGAACAATACTAATTTTTTGGATCATCAGATGCTGTTTTTCTCAGTTTGGTCAGGGAGCGACTGATTGGTCTTATTTAAAATTGTATTCACCGTAAAATATCAAATAATATGCCGGGTTATTGAGTTGAGCGATTTAAGGTATTGAAAAAGATGTAGAACTAATAAGACATAAACCAGTGAGCACTTTAGGAGCCTTTGTTGTGTTGGAGACTATTTGTGCTACTCTTCATCAAAACTGCATCTCAGATTATTCAGATAATCCACCGACAATTTGACTCAAGATAAGAGTTCCTTTGTTCGTCCCACAGTGGGGAAATTTCAATGTTGCAGCGCACAGACAGGACAGTAGTGAGAGACACAGAATATACTGTGTGTGTGTGTGTGTGTTATTACTCTAGTGCGACTTTTAATCAGAACAATACTGATGGATACTGAGGCTGAATGGTTTTCTTTATGTTGTAGACTGACTGTCCTGTGTGATCATCAGGCATCATAATCTATAATCAGACATTATTGGGTATCAGACATAATCAGTCATCATCAGACTTCATTATGGATCATCAGACATCATCAGACTTCATTATGGATCATCAGTCATCATCAGACTTCATTATGGATCATCAGACATCATCAGGCTGCTCTGTGTCTGAGCCTCAGCCGTGGACTCTGAGTTTGTGTTTTAGAGGCAGGAGAAGTGCATGTGGGAAAGCAGAGTGGGGCTGCAGCAGCGTGACTCATTTAGCCTCAGTTCTCTGCATCAGAACCCGGTTCTGTTCTCTGCATCAGAACCCGGATCTGTTCTCTGCATCAGAACCCGGATCTGTTCTCTGCATCAGAACCCGGATCTGTGTTTGTGAATCTGTGGCCGTCGGACTCTGGATGATGCTCGAGCAGATTCCTCAGAGCTGCTGACGATGACACAGGATTTACAGTAATGTGCAGACAGTGACTCGGGCCGCAGTGGTCGTAACAGAAGTCATGTGGAGCACCTTTCTCCTGGCTCTTGCCCTGGCTCTTGCCCTGGCTCTTGCCCTGGCTCTTGCCCTGGCTCTTGCCCTGGCTCTTGCCCTGGCTCTTGCCCTGGCTCTTGCCCTGGCTCTTGCCCTGGCTCTTGCCCTGGCTCTTGCCCTGGCTCTTGCCCTGGCTCTTGCCCTGGCTCTTGCCCTGGCTGCTGACGGTGCTGGGCGTGGGACATAATCAATCACACGTCTCCCTCTCAGCCGCACACATACCTTGAACACGCCTGATTCATTTAAAAGTGTTGACGCTCAGTCCTTATCTGGGTTTGAGTGGAGCTGATTGACTCTGGGCTCCTCCTGTGGCCTTTTAGATTCAATCACATGTTGGTGATTAGTCAGCGGAAGAATCTGTAAAAACATTCAATTCATTGTATTTTTGTATTAAATCACAGCAGTAGTTTTCTCGAAGGACTTTACAGAGCTGTCGATTCACCAACACAGAGAATCAAACACAGAGCCATTGGTCCAGAGGAGGCGGAGACCAATGTCCATAAACGTCAATGAATGATGAGGGTCCTGGGAAATATCAGTTTTTATATATTATATTTAACATAATCAGTTATTCACAAATATACTAATATTGTAGACAGATGTGAGCACCTCCACAGCACGTGTTAATGTAGAGCTGTGGATAGGGATTAGAAGCTTAATAATAATAGTTCATTTATTCTACACCTTACAGTTCAAAGACACTAAGAGCTTTTGTGAACATATTCACATATTGAATAGTATTTTCCGTGAGAGGGTTGGGCTCTTTATCGGTGCATTTCTACTGCAGTTATTCTTTGACAGTGATGATGCAACATGTTCCTCTGGCTCCACACACATAATGCTTTTTGAACTTTGTTTCATTTTTATATCACCTTAACCAGGTTCAAAACCCCATTCAGATGAAACGTTTATGGTTCCAAGAGTGACCTCCTGCAGCAGTAGCAGCAGCAGCAGTAGTAGTGACAGCAGCACACAATGATTGTATCAGTGTTTTGCAGTGAATATAAGCACTACAGTGGCAGTTGTGTGTCCGCAGCACAGTTGTGTGTCCGCAGCACAGTTGTGTGTCTGCAGCACAGTTGTGTGTCTGTCACACACGTTATTAGAATAGATCCATGGTCACACACAGTCCTGTAGCCACCGTGTTGCCAGTGCGCATGCGCGGCTCCCTCTGTCGGAGCTGAGCCTTTAGCGGAGCTTCAAGATGGACGCCAAACAGGGTTAGTGTGGTCGTAATCTTTTGTTTAGCCTCCATCCTCCTCCTCACAGCACACATTTGCATTCGGCTGCGTTATTGTACGGTCTGCGGGGACATTTGCATGGGCTGCTGCGGGAGGGAGGCCTCTGTCTGCGGCTGAGGTCACACCGCGGACAGGGCGAGGATCCCGGCTGTGGATGTGCCTCTGCAGCCCCTCATGGAGCATGTGGCCCGGGGAACAGTCAGCGGATGTGCCTCTGCAGCCCCTCATGGAGCATGTGGCCCGGGGAACAGTCTGTGGATGTGCCTCTGCAGCCCCTCATGGAGCATGTGGCCCGGGGAACAGTCTGTGGATGTGCCTCTGCAGCCCCTCATGGAGCATGTGGCCCGGGGAACAGTCTGTGGATGTGCCTCTGCAGCCCCTCATGGAGCATGTGGCCCGGGGAACAGTCTGTGGATGTGCCTCTGCAGCCCCTCATGGAGCATGTGGCCCGGGGAACAGTCTGTGGATGTGCCTCTGCAGCCCCTCATGGAGCATGTGGCCCGGGGAACAGTCTGTGGATGTGCCTCTGCAGCCCCTCATGGAGCATGTGGCCCGGGGAACAGTCAGCGGATGTGCCTCTGCAGCCCCTCATGGAGCATGTGGCCCGGGGAACAGTCTGTGGATGTGCCTCTGCAGCCCCTCATGGAGCATGTGGCCCGGGGAACAGTCTGTGGATGTGCCTCTGCAGCCCCTCATGGAGCATGTGGCCCGGGGAACAGTCTGTGGATGTGCCTCTGCAGCCCCTCATGGAGCATGTGGCCCGGGGAACAGTCTGTGGATGTGCCTCTGCAGCCCCTCATGGAGCATGTGGCCCGGGGAACAGTCTGTGGATGTGCCTCTGCAGCCCCTCATGGAGCATGTGGCCCGGGGAACAGTCTGTGGATGTGCCTCTGCAGCCCCTCATGGAGCATGTGGCCCGGGGAACAGTCAGCGGTCAATTACAATCTAGCTCTCAGTGAAATGAGATCTTCCTCCGAGGTTAGCTGCAGTGATGTGCTCTATTTTTAGTCCTGATGCTAACCCTCCTGCTACCATATGTAGGCTGCGGACACTAGGACCGTGGGCCAGCCCCCCCCCACCCGGTGTGTGCCCCCCCCCCCCCCCCCCCCCCCCCCCCCACCCGGTGTCCAGGGGCTCCAGCTGCGTGTGTGTGTCAGTAGCGTGTGTGTGTGTGTGAGTAGCGTGTGTGTGTGTGTCAGTAGCGTGTGTGTGTGTGTGAGTAGCATGTGTGTGTGTGTCAGTAGCGTGTGTGTGTGTGTGAGTAGCATGTGTGTGTGTGTCAGTAGCGTGTGTGTGTGTGAGTAGCATGTGTGTGTGTGTCAGTAGCGTGTGTGTGTGTCAGTAGCGTGTGTGTGTGTGAGTAGCATGTGTGTGTGTGTCAGTAGCGTGTGTGTGTGTGTGAGTAGCATGTGTGTGTGTGTCAGTAGCGTGTGTGTGTGTGTGAGTAGCATGTGTGTGTGTGTCAGTAGCGTGTGTGTGTGTGTGAGTAGCATGTGTGTGTGTGTCAGTAGCGTGTGTGTGTGTGTGTGAGTAGCATGTGTGTGTGTGTCAGTAGCGTGTGTGTGTGTGAGTAGCATGTGTGTGTGTGTCAGTAGCGTGTGTGTGTGTCAGTAGCGTGTGTGTGTGTGTGAGTAGCATGTGTGTGTGTGTCAGTAGCGTGTGTGTGTGTGTGAGTAGCGTGTGTGTGTGTGTCAGTAGCGTGTGTGTGTGTGTGAGTAGCATGTGTGTGTGTGTCAGTAGCGTGTGTGTGTGTGAGTAGCATGTGTGTGTGTGTCAGTAGCGTGTGTGTGTGTGAGTAGCATGTGTGTGTGTGTCAGTAGCGTGTGTGTGTGTCAGTAGCGTGTGTGTGTGTGAGTAGCATGTGTGTGTGTGTCAGTAGCGTGTGTGTGTGTGTGTGAGTAGCGTGTGTGTGTGTGTCAGTAGCGTGTGTGTGTGTGTGAGTAGCATGTGTGTGTGTGTCAGTAGCGTGTGTGTGTGTGTGAGTAGCATGTGTGTGTGTGTCAGTAGCGTGTGTGTGTGTGAGTAGCATGTGTGTGTGTGTCAGTAGCGTGTGTGTGTGTGAGTAGCATGTGTGTGTGTGTCAGTAGCGTGTGTGTGTGTGAGTAGCATGTGTGTGTGTGTCAGTAGCGTGTGTGTGTGTCAGTAGCGTGTGTGTGTGTGAGTAGCATGTGTGTGTGTGTCAGTAGCGTGTGTGTGTGTGTGAGTAGCATGTGTGTGTGTGTCAGTAGCGTGTGTGTGTGTGTGAGTAGCATGTGTGTGTGTGTCAGTAGCGTGTGTGTGTGTGTGAGTAGCATGTGTGTGTGTGTCAGTAGCGTGTGTGTGTGTGTGAGTAGCATGTGTGTGTGTGTCAGTAGCGTGTGTGTGTGTGAGTAGCATGTGTGTGTGTGTCAGTAGCGTGTGTGTGTGTGAGTAGCATGTGTGTGTGTGTCAGTAGCGTGTGTGTGTGTCAGTAGCGTGTGTGTGTGTGAGTAGCATGTGTGTGTGTGTCAGTAGCGTGTGTGTGTGTGTGAGTAGCATGTGTGTGTGTGTCAGTAGCGTGTGTGTGTGTGTGAGTAGCATGTGTGTGTGTGTCAGTAGCGTGTGTGTGTGTGTGAGTAGCATGTGTGTGTGTGTCAGTAGCGTGTGTGTGTGTGAGTAGCATGTGTGTGTGTGTCAGTAGCGTGTGTGTGTGTCAGTAGCGTGTGTGTGTGTGAGTAGCATGTGTGTGTGTGTCAGTAGCGTGTGTGTGTGTGTGAGTAGCATGTGTGTGTGTGTCAGTAGCGTGTGTGTGTGTGTGAGTAGCATGTGTGTGTGTGTCAGTAGCGTGTGTGTGTGTGTGAGTAGCATGTGTGTGTGTGTCAGTAGCGTGTGTGTGTGTGAGTAGCATGTGTGTGTGTGTCAGTAGCGTGTGTCTGTGTGAGTAGCATGTGTGTGTGTGTCAGTAGCGTGTGTGTGTGTCAGTAGCGTGTGTGTGTGTGAGTAGCATGTGTGTGTGTGTCAGTAGCGTGTGTGTGTGTGTGAGTAGCATGTGTGTGTGTGTCAGTAGCGTGTGTGTGTGTGAGTAGCATGTGTGTGTGTGTCAGTAGCGTGTGTGTGTGTGAGTAGCATGTGTGTGTGTGTCAGTAGCGTGTGTGTGTGTCAGTAGCGTGTGTGTGTGTGAGTAGCATGTGTGTGTGTGTCAGTAGCGTGTGTGTGTGTGTGAGTAGCATGTGTGTGTGTGTCAGTAGCATGTGTGTGTGTGTGAGTAGCATGTGTGTGTGTGTCAGTAGCGTGTGTGTGTGTGAGTAGCATGTGTGTGTGTGTGTCAGTAGCGTGTGTGACAGTAGCATATGTGTGTGTGTGTCAGTTGTGTTTGTGTGTGACAGTAGTGTGTGTGTGTCAGTAGCGCGTGTGTGTGACAGTAGCATGTGTGTGTCAGTAGCGTGTGTGTGTGTGAGTAGCATGTGTGTGTGTGTGTCAGTAGCGTGTGTGACAGTAGCATATGTGTGTGTGTGTCAGTTGTGTTTGTGTGTGACAGTAGTGTGTGTGTGTCAGTAGCGCGTGTGTGTGACAGTAGCATGTGTGTGTCAGTAGCATGTTGCTAACAGGTCACGCCCACACTGCAGCTCATGCAGGGGTTCATGGTGTGACCCCACATGGTACTGGCTCTGGCTCCAGCTGCATGTGTGTGACAGTAGCGTGTGTGTGTGACAGTAGCATATGTGTGTGTGACAGTAGCGTGTGTGTGTGACAGTAGCATATGTGTGTGTGTGTGTGTCAGTAGCATGTTGCTAACAGGTCACGCCCACACTGCAGCTCATGCAGGGGTTCATGGTGTGACCCCACATGGTACTGGCTGCAGACAGCACTCACACCTGGAGCATTTACCATGAACAGTATACGGCTCCATGGTTGCTGCACTCTGCTGTTAAAGGTATAGAGGAGGATTTTCTACTTCCTGGTGGATCATCAAGACTATTGGTCCTCCTAATTGTCAATTCTGGTGATACGTGCTCGTAGACCAGAGTGTAGAGGGCGGTTCTTTCTCCTCCTCTACCTTTGAACCCTACTATGGATCCTCAGTGCAACCTTAAACTATAACGACCACTCGCGTTCAGAGTAACTTTATCTCTGATCATATACATGTTGTAAAATATCACAGTACAAATATAATGTATGTGTTTCATGTGTGAATGTACTCCTGATGTAACTGGGGGCTCCTGACATGTAACTGACTACATGCGGTGGTCTCCAGTGTGAGATTGCAGGAGACCCCTTGGACTTCTAATATTATCCATTGACCTGTCTGGAATTCTCTGGTGAAACCTTAGAATGGGGCATGTGGGAGCTCCAGCTGTCTGCCCCTGTGTTCCTTCACTTTCCCCCGTGGAGCCTCTCCCTGTGGGCACGAGACTACACCTGAGACCTGCCTGTATGGTATGGTATGGTATGGTATGGACCGGCCTGTACTGCACAGGACTGTTTTATGAATGGCACAGATGCATAAAGGCCCAGTGGGAGACGTTTGGGTTGCAAGGAGTGGACATTTTCTGGTATATTTTCATGAGAAGTGAATCTAGGGAACTTTGGAAATATTTAATAACAAGCCATTGATTGTATTTATAAGTAGAACAAGTTCCCCGTGATGTAATCAGAACTCGCTTCACTTTATTGGAGGCACACATTTGAGCCTGTGGACTAAACGGTGTCGTGCTTTGGGCTCAGAAGTGTGGTCCAGTCTTTTCTAGAACTGTCCTGTCCGTGTGTTGGAGGCCACAGTGAGCGTGTGCGACGTGCAGTGGAATGAGGAAGGACATGGATATATAAACGTATTTGAATTGCATTTAGTCAAGATTATGCTTAAATATACTATTCTCAACTATTTCCTATAAGTTCCCTACAAAGTTTAATCTTTGGAAAGTCTGGGAATTTTGCAACTTGTAATTTGCATTTAGAGCATCCAATTGGTTTAGTGTAAAAATGAGTGTTTTTGGAAGATCTCATGACGCTCCTCTTGTCTCTTCAGAATGAGTGTGAATCCGTCTGAGACCTTAGTTACTTCACTGAATTATAAAGTGCCTGGACTTATCCATAGACCGTCCTTAAAGACCGAAACAAGTCGATTACTCACAACTAATCCATGGTTGAAATAATCGTCAATTTGTTTTGTTTATGAACCTTCCCCCACCTTCAAGAAGAGGTTTTTATGACTCCGATAAGAATGACTGCAGAAGGAGATGTTTTGAATCCAACGACTCGGTGTGTAACAGTCATGTTCTCAAAACGACTCAATCATCAAACTAATCGTTAATTACATCAGATCTGGTCGGATCTCATGTGGATGAAAAACCTGCAGTCGTGCTTTGACCTGTCCTGTGTGTGCGTGTGTGTGTGTGTCCGAGTGTGCGTATGTAGGTATGTGTGTGTGTGTGTGTGTGTGTGTGTGTGCGTGCGCGTATGTAGGTATGTGTGTGTGCGTGCGTGCGTGTGTGTGTGTGTGTGTCCAGCCACAGCCTGAGGAGCTCTCCCTTACATCAGTGCCATATCAGTGACCCAGAGTGGCTCTGGTTCAGATGTGGATAAAGTCCTGGAGGCAGATGATGAGGTCTAGACACTGGATCTGTGGCCTCACTCTGTCGCGGGGCCTCACTCTGTCGCGTGGCCTCACTCACTCTGTCGCGGGGCCTCACTCTGTCGCGTGGCCTCACTCTGTCGCGTGGCCTCACTCTGTCGCGTGGCCTCACTCTGTCGCGGGGCCTCACTCTGTCGCGTGGCCTCACTCTGTCGCGTGGCCTCACTCTGTCGCGTGGCCTCACTCTGTCGCGTGGCCTCACTCTGTCGCGTGGCCTCACTCTGTCGCGTGGCCTCACTCTGTCGCGGGGCCTCACTCTGTCGCGTGGCCTCACTCTGTCGCGTGGCCTCACTCTGTCGCGTGGCCTCACTCTGTCGCGGGGCCTCACTCTGTCGCGTGGCCTCACTCACTCTGTCGCGTGGCCTCACTCTGTCATAAGGAAGTCCCACACTCCGTTCATATCTGTAATGCTCATGAAGACGTACGCGCCTGTGTTAAATGGGGATTTCAGATTAATTTAATTTCATGCATAAAATGAATTATTTTGGAATCATTAAAATGAATCAGATTAATTTGAGTTTGACATGATTTCTGATCTCAACATGACACATGTGCTCTGCTGGTGCTGACCTGTGCTCCTCCTCCTCAGTGGTGGAGCTCCTGTACTGGCGTGATGTGAAGAGCACGGGGGCCGTGTTCGGGGCCATCCTGCTGCTGCTGCTGTCCCTCACCATGTGCAGCATCGTCAGTGTGTGCTCCTACATCGGCCTGGCCCTGCTCTCCGTCACCATCTGCTTCAGGATATACAAGGGCATCCTGCAGGCCATCCAGAAGTCAGACGACGGACACCCCTTCAAGTGAGTCAGACCCTCTGTGGTCCCCCTCACCCTCACTGTGGTCCCCCTCACTGTGGTCCCCCTCACTGTGGTCCTCCTCACCCTCACTGTGGTCCCCCTCACTGTCACTGTGGTCCTCCTCACCCTCACTGTGGTCCCCCTCACTGTCACTGTGGTCCTCCTCACCCTCACTGTGGTCCCCCTCACTGTCACTGTGGTCCTCCTCACCCTCACTGTGGTCCTCCTGCCCACCCCTCACTGTGGTCCTCCTGCCCACCCCTCACTGTGGTCCTCCTGCCCACCCCTCACTGTGGTCCCCCTGCCCACCCCTCACTGTGGTCCTCCTGCCCACCCCTCACTGTGGTCCCCCTCACTGTGGTCTTCCTGCCCCCTCACCCTCACTGTGATCCTCCTGCCCACCCCTCACTGTGGTCTTCCTGCCCCCTCACCCTCACTGTGGTCCTCCTGCCCACCCCTCACTGTGGTCCTCCTGCCCACCCCTCACTGTGGTCCTCCTGCCCACCCCTCACTGTGGTCCTCCTGCCCACCCCTCACTGTGGTCCTCCTGCCCACCCCTCACTGTGGTCCTCCTGCCCACCCCTCACTGTGGTCCTCCTGCCCCCTCCTCACTGTGGTCCTCCCACTGTAGGTTCAGCAAAAGTCTGAGTGTGGTCAGAGCTGAGTCAGGGATGTGATCCACAAACTGCTGCTGTCTCTCCATAGACTTTAGAGCAGTTGTGGGCAAACCCAGGCCCGTGGGCCACATGCGGCCCTTTGGATGCTTCTATCAGGCCCCTGAGCCCTCCACAATATTAAGATCAAGAGAGATTAGGATTAAGAACATTTATTTATCCCACAGTGGGGTAATTTCAGTTTAAACATCATACAATCCCTGTCTGTGCTGTGTGCAGAGCTATTTTTTTTTTCAAATAGACTATACATTTATGTTTTAAAATGAAGCCTGACAAAAACATTGGAATATCAGACGGCTGTCGGGATCCGGACCTAATTTCCAATGTGGCCCTCAGGAGGAAAAGTTTGCCCATGTCTGCTTTAGAGACTGTTTGTGTTAATGAAGTTCTCTCTGATCAGTAGAACCTCCTCCAGCTGCAGAACAGACTCAGTATTCACTGGTGTAAAACACTGTCCCATTGTCCTGCAGGCAGTACCTGGACCAGGAGGTGGCGCTGTCCGAAGACATGGTGCACAAATACAGCGACGCAGCCCTGAACAAGATCAACAAGAGCATCGCAGACCTGAGGCGTGTGTTCCTGGTGGAGGACCTGGTGGACTCCATCAAGGTGAGCTGCTGCGGCACCTGTGGCAGCTGCGGCACCTGTGGCTGTGTCTATAAAACATGTTTTATAGAGCCTGCGCCTGTTGTCGGCAGTAACTAACTCTGAAACGTGTCAACAGGAAATATTTTTGAAACAGTAATCTGGATTACCGTTGCCATGGTGACGGCACCTTTAAGGCTTGAATCAGAGTCTGTTGGTGCTAGTTTAAAGCTGGGCACATAGTGTCATGCTTGGCAGATAGTGTTTTAATTTGAATCATATAATAATGGGTGTCCCTGTGGGTCTGACTCGGTCTGACTCGGTCTGACTCGGTCTGACTCGGTCTGACTCGGTCTGACTCGGTCTGACTCGGTCTGACTCGGTCTGACTCGGTCTGACTCGGTCCTGATCTGACTGTAGGGTTTGATTATCAGACGAGGAGCTCATGCTGACCGTGTGCTCACTGTGACATCACACACTCAGTCAGGAGTCATATGCTCCAGTTCTGCATCAAGTCCAACCCTCACCACAAAGTCAGCCTGAGACTACGACACCTTTAATCTGTACAGAGCTGCTCTGAGGCCCACGATCTCAGACCTGGGCCTCATGTGGAGGTGTGGAGTGTGGAGCTCAGGATGTTCTGCAGAGTGTGGAGCTGAGGATGTTCTGCAGAGTGTGGAGCTGAGGATGTTCTGCAGAGTGTGGAGCTGAGGATGTTCTGCAGAGTGTGGAGCTGAGGATGTTCTGCAGAGTGTGGAGCTGAGGATGTTCTGCAGAGTGTGGAGCTGAGGATGTTCTGCAGAGTGTGGAGCTGAGGATGTTCTGCAGAGTGTGGAGCTGAGGATGTTCTGCAGAGTGTGGAGCTGAGGATGTTCTGCAGAGTGTGGAGCTGAGGATGTTCTGCAGAGTGTGGAGCTGAGGATGTTCTGCAGAGTGTGGAGCTGAGGATGTTCTGCAGAGTGTGGAGCTGAGGATGTTCTGCAGAGTGTGGAGCTGAGGATGTTCTGCAGAGTGTGGAGCTGAGGATG